AACGAGATCCATTCCCGAGGTCTGTCCTTAAGTCAAATTTGTATGTAAGCTGGAACAGTATTATTCTATAATACTGTATAAGTAGTATTGTGTACATTATTTTCCTGGGAGGGAAAAACAAAAGGAAAACAATGGTGGGGAAGTTGGGCAGTTTTGAGTTTCAGGGTTTAGTGACTGTGGTCTAGACAGATTTCCTGACATTTCACTGGTAACTGTGGCGCCTGCCTTATGGAACATCATCCCTCCCCACCCAAAGTCAGGTTGGCTCCATCCTTGTTAACTTTTTGCAAGTCCTTCTGGACTTGGTTATGTCATCAGGCTTGGGGGCCCAAAGGGAATTGTGAGTTGTTGAGGTGGCTCCACTGTTGTTAATAGTTGTTGCTCTCTCCTTGCCTTTTTTAAATTGTTGATTGTTTTTTATATTATCATGTTTTAATTTTTTATTGTGCACAGTCCAGAGTCACATTTTTAATAATAATTTTTATTGAAATTTACAGACACAAAGATAAAAAACTAATACAAACTAAGAAAAAAAAATAAAGTGCAGAGAAAAGGAAAAAATATAAAGAAAAAAGATATATAAAGAAATGACTTCTCCCTTCATCAAGACAAGTACAATTTCAGTAACTTATTACCTCCTCTAATACTTCCCATATCTCATCTCTTATCTATAAACAAATTTTAAAGCTTTGTCGTTCAATCCTAGTCAGCAAAAGTCCATTAAGAGTTACCAGAAATAACAACATATACAGTACATTTTAACCTTAAACAACCCAGTTTTATGTTCCTTTCAACATTAAAAAAAAATTAAACATTAATTTAATTTAATTAATTTAATTCACATTAAACTAATCACTTTCTCTAAAATACAACAAAGGATCTCATAAACAAATCTTTAAAACTTCATTGTTCAGTCCTAGTCAAGAAAAGTCCATTAAGATCTACCAGAAGCAGCAACATATAGATTTTAACCTTGGTCAAATAAACTGACTTTGTATTCCTTCTGTTTACTTTTAAAAATCTTAAATTTTAATCCCTTTAGATCGGGGGTCCTCAAATTTTTTAAACAGGGGGCCAGTTCACGGTCCCTCAGAATGTTGGGGGGCCAGACTATAGTTTGAAAAAAACATGAGGAGAGGAGGAGAGCCACCAGACCCGGCATACTTGTCATGTAGAATAGTCCGCCTCTGCGATCTCCCTCCTCATGCATTGCCTGCAGCTCCCGACACAGCCCCGACACTTCCGCTTCTGACAGACAGCAGCAGTGGCCAATCAGGCGGGGGCGGCTGGGTAAAGGACCAGGACGGGCCGCCCCCCCCCCCGCGGCCCATCTTGCCAGCTCCCTCCATCTTAAAAGCGCCCCGCAGCGAT